TTTTTTTTTTTTTTTTTCTTTCGCAGCCATTGCGTTCAATTACTTATAGATTTTTTTTACCACCATTAATCAAACATTTAAAGATCAACAATTATAAAATCATTAACGTAAAAAAATATCCCTAAAAATCTGAGAAATACCAATTTATCGAAAATTTCAAGTAAAAAACGATCCGATTCTTTTATGAAAGATGGCAATTAATTACACCGTTTTTAAATTCAATGTAAATGGAATAAATCACTATCGCATTATGCAAATTCGTATTCTTTGTGCTGAAACGCCACACGGGAGCATCATGCTTGCGAGCATTAGGTGGATTTAGAAAGTGCCTGTCTTCTGTTCAGCCAAAAAAAAAAAAACCCATCACCTCGCAATGATAGTTATCTCCAGTCATGAATGAACGAGTCACGAAAAGGGACCAAAGGTTCAAGAATTAATTGATCTGAAACCGAAATGCGTTAATGAGCACTCAGGGAGTCAAGTTCATATTGTATGAGGGGAAAAAAAGCTGCAGCAAAATCGACGACACAGTGGAGAGAAAGAGAGAAAGAGAGAAAGAGATTCACCAACGGTCTCATCAGCATAGGTGATGGGTCGAGATACGAGTGGGGCCAGGGCTGGTATAAAAGGGGCACCGTAACATCTGTGGAGCATCAGTCCTCAAATCCAAGGAACAGCAGCAACCATGAGGGCATTCATGGTGAGTCCAATCTTTCTCGTCTACTCGTTGGCTTCTTTCATTCTACATCCTCTTCCTACCGTTCCCTGACGTTTCAGGCAGTGCCTCTTTCTTCATTCTTTCATCTGCTTCTTTCCTTTCTTTGAAATTCTCCATTGGCATCAGGCTTACATGGAAGGCTGAAAATTATCACAATATCAGTTAAACTATATATATATGTTACAATTTGCGAGTCGACCACAGTTTTAACTATTCCTACTTGTTATCCTAGAAACGATATAGTCATTTACAGTGAGTTTACAGTTTCTAGGATAGTAGAGACTACTATACATATTCCTACTTGTTTCACTCATTCAATTGTTTCCATATGATAGCCAGTAGTAGAGACCAAAGAGATAGATAGATAAATAGATAGATAAATAGAGGAAAGAAAGAAAATTGAAATTTGTGTATATAGGAGGAAAGATGGTATGAAAGAGAAAGTAAGAGAAGAATGAGAATGATGTCGACAAATGCAGTTGTGTTTGATGATCCACGCATTCGATAATCATATCAAGATGCACGAGTATGAAAGTACATTAGAAACAAGAACTTTCTAATTCGATGTAATTACGTTTCTTTTACTGTATCTCCATTAGTTTAAGTTTCATATATTGATTTTCATTCTTCCATCTTTACTCTTCTATTCCTTGCATCCAATTATTATCTTCTTATCCTTTACATTCCATCCTTCTATTCCTGTTTCTTTTTCTATTCATAAAAATTTGGATTAACATGAATATTCGCGCACGTTGTTTGTTTCAAAATTCATATCAATACTGACATACTGTTAAACGTTTCTGTTGCCAGATCGTGATGCTCGCCGCTTCGGTGATGGCACGGCCAGAAGCAGGCTACTCTTACTCTCAGCCTAGCTCCAGTTACGGGGCACCAGGAGGTGGAACCACTGGGATAGGCGGTGGACTCGGTGGCGGACTCGGTGGCGGACTTGGCGGAGGGCTTGGCGGTGGACTCGGTGGTGGACTCGGTGGTGGACTTGGCGGTGGATTCGGCGGTGGATTCGGTGGAGGCTTTGGTGGTGGTATCGGAGGCGGTGGTGGCGGTGGATTCGGTGGTGGATTCGGTGGAGGTGTTGGAGGAGGCGGTGGTTTCGGAGGTGGTTCTCTCATACAGAAGCACATCTACGTACACGTGCCACCACCAGAAGCACCGGAAGACAGGCCGAGCAGACCCATCGCGCCACCACCCCCACCTCAAAAGCACTACAAGATCATCTTCATCAAGGCACCAACTCCGCCAACTCCTACCGCTCCTGCCATCCCTGCTCTTCCTCAGCAAGATGAACAGAAGACGTTGATCTATGTGTTGGTGAAGAAACCGGAAGAAGCACCGGAAATCACTTTGCCTACCATTGCTCCGACTCAGCCGAGCAAACCGGAAGTTTACTTCATCAAATACAAGACTCAGGTAAGCAAGTTTCTTTCAATTCTCAGCGAAATTCAAACCTCAGTATAAATTAGTATCCATATTTCCATAAAGCTTGCTTGTTTTACAAGTGTTTTGTCCTTTTCATTGTTTGATCACAGTTCTTCGTTTCACATTAACAGTCGCATCAAAATGGTTAAACATTAAAGATGCAGAAAGAGATATCTATCGTTGTTCGTTATAAATTTTTTTATCATTAACAACAAGTTCATGGGAAGTATAAATTCCTGTCCTGCGACAATATTTCGGTTCTTACTTAAATTAAAGAAACAGCATCCACCTTTACTAGCCTCAATATCTTTCAAAAGTACGGATCATCAACAGCTGTGTGGTAATCTGAAAGAAATCAACTTGTCCTCAATCTGAAAACTGATGATAGGGTATTGTACAAATTATAGAAGGAAGTTACTGGTGGCGGCGGCGGTGGTGGAATCGGTGGAGGAATCGGCGGAGGAATCGGCGGAGGAATCGGCGGAGGAATCGGTGGAGGAATCGGCGGAGGAATCGGTGGCGGTATCGGCGGAGGAATCGGCGGAGGCGGAGGACTTGACGGTCATGGTGGAAGCGGACCAAGTGGACCCAGCACGTCTTACGGAGCTCCCGGCGCTTCAGGGCCTTACTAGTCACTCGAAATGCCCGTTGAATCCCCACAACTCCTCCTCCACCCGTACTCGAATTTACCTTTACGCTCCGCGAGACGCACGCATTCACGGCTTCGGCCACGGCTTCAGCCACGGCTCAACTGCGATCCTATTGGACGCGATACACTGTGATCCCACGTGGACGACGACCGCGCTGACGAGCAGGAACAGCACAATCGAGTGGACAATCGATAGTAACACGAGGCTCCTGCTCGCGATTCGGAGTTACACGATTAATAAGAATAATGTGACCACGATCATGACGATGACCGTGATGACTAGGATGATGATGATGATGACGACGATGATGATAATGATGATGATGATGATGATGATGATGGTGATAATGACGACGATCACGATGATGATGGTGACGATGATGACGAATATGATGATGATGATGATGATGGTGGTTCTAACAGAAGTTAGAAACACGATAACCAAGACGACGACGACGACGATGATTAGGATTAAATGTTTTTTTATACGTTACTTTTTGCAAGAAAACGGTGGCGAAATAAAGCTTTTTTTATGTATTTTTACATAAAATCATGATATCTTCATTAATCATATTCCTTGACCCTTCGTCGAGCTAGAGCCTTATCAAAAATTTAAATTTTCAATGGCAGTATGGAGAATTTGAAAATTATGTGCGCTCCAAACGATCATCGAAAATTAAACTTCATTGGTTTAATCGTTCGAAAACTAGATTCCATGAGATTACTTATGAAAAACAATTGTAGTCCCAAATTAATTTTACATTAATCTGCATACAACTTACGAACAATCTCCTATTTAAGTTACTTTTAAAGATTATGAACAACGCAAAGATATACACGCCCGATTGATCTTCGTGGAATCTCCATCTCACATGGAGCATCGTGAACTTTCAATTTCTATTTGTGCTCCTTTTCACTTGTTTAAGAGGGCCAGAGAAAGTCGTCTGTGAAATCGTCCTTCGAGAATAGTCTTCCTTAAAAAATAAAAATCATCGTCCTTTGTCAAGGCAGACTTTCTTTCAAAAGTAAGACAGACTTTCGAAGAGTACAACGAAATTAAAATCAAAATGCAGGAAATTTTTATTTAATTTTGAATGTCAATAGTTTGTTTAATTTTATCAGTTAAAATCTTCAGCTGCTTAACGTCGTAAGAAGAAAAATCATGGTACAATAATATCCGTAATTGTGATGATGCAACTATAAAATGACAGTTACAACAATTGAGGTAAAAATTAATGACAACAATCGTGCACGCGATCTATGATTATCTAATGATAATGACGATAGTAAACTTTAACTAACGATATCGTAACTTTCAGGTAACACGAAAAGTAATTGAAATTGCAAGTGCAATCTCCACCCTTATACATTGTGTAAAACACAATAACTGCAAAGGATAAATAGAAGTTATTGTTATAATATATAATGTGTATAGTTATAAAAATTAAAAAATTTTTGTAAAAGATTTTTTAAAAATCAATCGTACTGTGTACTATAGGCATATACCGAGTGTCTCGTAATGGTCATCACTGTGGGAATAACTTCATGCAAGCGGAAATTGAGCTACATGAAATCACGTTTCACATTAATTTCTCCATATTCACAGGAGCACGTGCAATGAAAGTTTAAATTGGTACGGAGTCATTAAAATATTGCAAGAACTGACCGCATTCAACATTTAAGTGTCGATTGCTAAACTCTGTGGATTTTAGTTCCTATGAGATTCATATTTTAGATAAAAAAAGAAAAAGAATGAAACTTTTATTCTTCTGAAATTCGTATTCATTAAAGAAAGTTAGAAATAATTACAAGATCTTTCCACAATGAAAATTCATAAATTCATTTCTTCTGTTCTTTTAAAATATACTGAACTCCTTATACAGCAGATTAACATTTTTTAAATAATGAATATTTCCATGTGATGTAATAATTGGATGAAATGTATTTGAGTCAATGTTTCAATGAAAATTCATAAATTTCTTCTGTTCTTTTAAAATATACTGAACTCCTTATACAGCAGATTAACATTTTTTAAATAATGGATATTTCCATGTGATGTAATAATTGGATGAAATGTATTTGAGTCAGTCAAAGTTTTGAGTTATTAGTCAAATAATTTCAAATTTCGACATTCTGTAAATTAAATGCAAACAGAGAACATGTTAAAACATTTTCGCACTCTCGCTAGCTAAACATTAAAGGAAATCTTCAAACCAACATTTCGAAAGTAAACGTTAATCATGTGGTAAATAATTTCTATTCGAATCTAAAGATAACGTGTTCTCGAAAATAAAGAGAAACCAATCTAGCGTGCCGCTTAATTCTGCGTGTGATGCGATATAAAACGTATGAACAGTATATTATGCAACGACTCTTCGTCTAAAGTCTAAAACATTATACACAAGTTAGGCCCACGCCACCGTATGTGAGAAACCAAGCGTTCTGTGGTCCACGAACCTGATTTATTCGCATGAATCTCATCACGTCACATATTTCATCATGTCGTCGGAAAAAACGTCTGTATCAACCGTATTCAACTGTAAGATAAATTAATCATCTTAAAGACAGTTAGATGTTTAACTATAAAAGTGAATGTGTACATCATTATAGTATTATATGTACAATAATTGATTGCTCTAGAAATCAACATATATATATATGTACACTGAAATTCGTTAAAGGAAACAAATTTTCCTTGTTTTTCTTTTGTCTTTCTTCAATTTTTTTTCGTTTTGTTAATGTAAAAAGACCAATATAAACGCTTGAGTAATACATTCATTGAACAAATATTATCCCTCCAAATAGACAGTAGAATGTGTATATTAGTCAGACGTATACTAAACTGCATGTAAAACATGACTCATGTCATTACAGCTGTGGACATACATGTATGTTTTAATATTGACTTGCGTGTGAGGATAATAGATAATAGATAACAATTACTCAGTTAATCACAATTTTAAAAGATTCGCGAAGAATATGATTATTTGTCAAACGCATCATATATATAGATACATCAATCAACGAATGTTTCAGCAATCAGCAGCAATTCATTTTTACAGAAGTAATAAGGTTTTGATTAGGTTTGCAATTTTTTACAAGTAATTCATTTTTACAGAAGTAATAAGGTTCGTCAAGAAGATTTGACCTCAGGAACGTTTTTTAGTGACAGAAAGAGAAGAGGGAAGAGAGGAGAGAAAAGCATATACCTACCTGACAGTCTTCATCTTGATTAGTGGCTGTTTAAGAATAGTGAAAGTTTCTCTAGCTTGCGTCACGACGCCTTTCCCGAAGAAGACGCGGAAATCGACGCCTTCCTCTTTAAACGGACGATCGATCTTTTCCACGACCAGCTTTTTCTAAGGCCACCATATTTAATGGCTTTGTTTCATTAGCTTTTTCCTTCCTCTCTGCATTATCAGGGAGGAGTGTGTAATTAATGCCTTTAATGGTCGTTGAGAAAGAGAAAGTGCAACTGTGAGGTGATAAGTCTTGTAACACCAAAGGATATTATTATTAACCGCTGCACTGAATCTTTTACTACCTGACTTATCCAGGTTCCAACTACTGTCATTGAGTTTCGAAAATCTTGTTTTTTGTTGAGACATTCACCTTATTCACAGGTCAATACAATGTTCAGCTGGTAATTTCACTTCAGTAGTTTTTTCTGAAGTATTACTCATCGCAGTACACGCTTTCTATTTCAAAATTCTGCCTAACCTGAATACAAGGTATCCTTAAAATAAATAGTTTCCATGAAAAAAAAGTAGCCCTGAGGAAATTTCTCATCCTATGTCGAAACTTTTCTTACGATGTACGTTAATTCTTTAAAATTCTTAAAACTATTACTCATTTTATTCAATTAATAGTTATACTCACTAAGGACTAATAGAACCACTCTTCTACTTTCCATCTTTCTTGCCTCTTTAGCAAATCTTCTGAAAAGCTGTCTTGACCATACATCTTTGTATCCATAAATATAATCTACAAGTTAGGAAAATAATCAGTGAAAAGCAATCATGACAAAGACATTATCTAAATCTTTTTGCTCTTACTTGATTTAGCACATTAACTGTGTGCGTGCATTAAGTAAAAATTATGTTTGAACACAAACTGTGATAAATGTTTTAATATATTAAAAAATGATTAATTCAATAATTATTATGAAAAAATGTATAGAGCAATAATTTGTCTTAGCAATAATTTTCTTTGCTATATATATATATATTTCCTTAACTATAGGAATAATTGAACTTTGCTATAAAAAGAGAAGCGAGTGAAAAGAGAGAAAGAGAGAGAACGATAAGGAGGTTAGATCGAAATTCGTTCCAATTTTTTCAAAGGAGGTCGAGGAATGACCTTTCAAGTTGATACTCTTGATCCCGTGATGTTCCAGGAAGCTGAAAAGGGGATTCACGTGGTGACCATGTGAAAGTTGCCTCTTGGCAGACGTTGCTCTTCTCTACCCCCACCCCTATTTCTTTCTCGATAGTTTTCCAGGGTTTCGCAGGTAAGATTTCTTACGAGAGCATCTTCTCCGCTGCGTAAGAACGTGAGAGAGAGCCCGCTTTCGTTTCCTTCTTCTTCCTTTCACGAATGCTAACGCATTCTGCTTTCCCCTCGATTCATGCCGCTAGTTATCCTTGTTTTCCTTCCTATTCTTATTTATTCTAATGTTTCTCTTTTCTGCTACTGCAGAGAGTGGAGAATATTTTATCGCCACTGATATCGATCATTTGATCATTAAAACATTGTTGATTCAAACATTGAATTGTTTAATTACACAAGATTTACAATATTAATATTATATAAAAATAAATAATATATCCCATGAATTTGTTAATATGTCAGAAGTTCTTTTTCATTGACCATTTTTTTTATTAATAGAAAAGAATCTAGAAGCTAGAAAAGAAAAAGTTTAAAATAATCAGGAAATATTCAAGATTAAAATTATTCCATTTTGATTAAGTTTATATTATAGAAACATTTTACCTTGCTTAATGTAAGCGAAAGGATTGGTTGTAAAATCCTTTTTTCTTCTCGGAACACGCAATATTCTCTAAATAATCATAATCCCGTCATGTTCATTTAAATCTCATAAATCTTAGATGTTCGTTACTTCCTATTCTTAAGTTTTTCTTTAACGAGCTGAAATATACTGAATTATATACACATTAAGCTCGATATTTCATTTATAATCTTCTCGAAATTTCGCAAAATCAACGTGTTGAAATCGGAAATGAAGAAAAATTACATAGGCAGTTACATAGGCAGTTGGGATTGCTTCTAACAGATACATATGTACTACACATTCTACGACTTCGTCTTGCACTCATTTTCATTTTGAAAATGAAGCGCAGCGAGTGATCATAAGTCAGCGCCAGTGATTGATCATTTTAAAGAGATCAAATTGGTATTTGATACTTTTAGTTTATTATTTAATATTATTATTTTGATATTTAATTCTACCCTCTCATAGAGAAAGTTGATTAGTTTAACAAAAAAGTTATACATAGTTCTATATATATACGAAAACAATTATATAGAAGAAGATATTTACGTAGAATAAATCGCTAATTGCTTCATCATTAATTTAATTATTAAATAGCAATATAATTAACAATGAATGAACTTCAACTATCAGATATCACACTTTCCAATGTTTTATTATATCTCACAAATAATTACAAAGAGGTTATAGAAATCGAGAAAAATCACTCTCGTACACTTTCTTCGATATTCGTTAGATAGATCGAAATTCACTCGCGACTATAACGACGAAACAAATATATGAAACATGGAAACTATGTTAAATTAAATGAAAGGATTGTTGCAAATCATACATTGAAAGTAAGGATTTTATAATTAACATTTAAAAGAATGGATAATAATTACTGAACCCACTTGTTGAATTTTTTTATCAAAGTTACCGAGTTTAATTAGTAGTTATCCTACAATTAATTACAAATCCTAGTTCATCCTACAATTAATTACAAATTTCTCTACTAACAATTTAACTAATGTTGACCTTGAATTTAAATAATTTGAAATACCAATATAAACTAATATAGCGAACTTTCTCGCATAATAACTCTCTGTTGATATCAGTATTACACAATTTATAACTTATAGGTTGTAGACTTCCCTGAAGTTTCTCTTTTAATTTTGCATCAAATATAATGATCAGATGACTTGTAATTTGTAAATTTGAAAAATTTTATTAATATCAACAATAAACCGCTAATTTGTAACTAGTAAAGTTTTTGGGCCTATTCGGATAGTTTTAGTATTAGAAGTGTTTTTCTGAACGCGGCTTTACGATTGAAAATCAATCAATATTCCCAGTCGATTGTACAGGTTACATGACATCGCACATATCGAATAAGAAAAAGGAAAGTAGAGAAATGCAACTGGTATTTTACTATTATGCAGCTTATCGGCTCGTCCGGGAACGTTTATTGGCCTTTTGACCTTAGCTTTCACTCGATTAGACCTTCTTCCTTGTTTCACTATCCGCATATATGCATTGTATCCAGCTGTCTCATAACTCTCTAGCATTTAGTCGTTCTTATCAATTCATAAGTTTCGTTGTGGCCAACAAATTGTTATCGTACCGTGCAATATTTCAGGAAAATAAATTGAAACACGATTATTGACCTGTGACTCAAGAAAATTTTTCATGAACGATTTCATTAAGATCAAGATTGCACTCATTACTCACATTTGTACGCATATAAGTAATAGTTGAATTTATTTTATACAAAATTCTAATTCTGCATAGTTATATCACGATATTATATTTGGTATATAACAAAATAAGGACATATAAAAACAAAAAACTTGTTCTTTCATATTATGATAATATCGTTGTAATGAAGAAACTTAATTTTCAAAGCAGTATAGATTAGTTTATATAATAAAATTTTATTGAATATTTTTGTAAAAATGTCTGAAATAAATTATTGTATTCTGCATCTTCAATTCAATTTCATAATTTTTTATATTTTGTTATTTCGAAACAATACCATAAGAATATCTATAAAATAGTTTGGTAAAAAAGAATATTTGTAATAAATTTTTTGTTATTTATTAAATATTAATTTGCATGTACTCAAAAAAATTATTAAGTACTTGACAAAGTTGTTATAACATAACATATATTTTGTTAAAACATTGTATTTTTGTACAATTATTAATTGTGCGATTGTGCAATTAATGCACATGTTGAAATATAAATTGTCTTTTTTGAACGAAATTGAATATTTGGTCACTGCAAAAGTTTTATTCATTAATATGCAATAATGAAGGATTTCTAGTTTTTGAAAAATTCTTTATTCATTATCATAATTTGTCTATTTTCTAGTAAAACAAAAAACAATGAACAAACCTTATGTAGTGACCAAATGACAGAAAGTACTGTTAATTAAAAAGATTAAGTTTTTGTATAAATATTTTCAATATATCATAAAACTATTGAAAATTACTTAAACACTGTTTAAAATAAGTTTGTTTCAAAAAATAAAATATAGTTTGAACAGTTTAAAAAGTAATATAATCTAATGTGCTACTGTAAAAAATTGTACTAGAAAAAAGTTAAAAAAAAATATGATTTGAAATTCACAATATGCATTTAATATTTATATCAGAAATTCATAAGAAAATATAAATATATCTCTTGCTTAAGGATACATATTCTTGAATAATATATATAAAATTACGACGTGTCACAGAAACGACAATTAATTGCAATAATTTATATATACATTAAGTCACTTCGTTTTCTACAAATTATTAAGATATAAAATCTTAAGAATCTCTGATTTATTTTAATTCGCACGTTAATTTTATTTAATACTGCAATTGCTCAAAATAGAATGTTCAAATAACAAAGCATCATGTAACAACTAGTATAAATACATTAATAAGAATGCAAACTCGAGTAACTGAGCATATTACAATAAAAATAAAAAACGTGAGAATAGATTGATACTTTTTACCTAGATTAAACATTTAGGTAAATTGTGAATTCAAAAAATTTCTTTAATTTTGTGTAAAAATATTTGTAATTCTTTTTCCTATATTTCAGATGTGTTAAAGACCGTTTTGGATTATGTTGAAGGCAGCGCCGAGAGCCCAACTTAATTCATGTCCATTGATTTTTTTATAAAGCTAAAAAATAAAATATTGGATTAAAAATTTGTTTAAATTATTAAAAAACTAAAAAATACAAGACCTAATGAAATAAAATAATTAATATACTTAACTAATATATACATTTAATATATTTAATATATATATACTTAATATTTAATATATATATATACTTGAATTTTTTTTAATGAAATAAAGTAAAAATATATCCTTACATAAAGTTTTGTAATAGGTTCTAAACCAAATCCATCGCGAAGAAGAATATAAATAAATGTTAAATCGAGGCAAATGAAAGGTTGATCAGTATTTGGATAATCGCAGGCATCCATTGCTTGTTTTAAAAACGCGCTTACTTGAATAACTCCGCCGAAAAAGGGATCAACTAAACCAACCTAAAATATTAATCGATTAAAACTATTTGCAATTTTTATAAAATTTTTAATACACACACACACACACTATATTTGATTGAAAATTTACCTCGGTAGCACGATCGAAATAGTAAGAAAATGCATAGATCTCGCGGTCTTTTAAACCTTTTGGTTTATTTTTGATTCTGCCAACATACTTTTCAATGATTTTTAAACATTCTGAAAAATTGACGATTGGTCTATCCACTTCTCCACCAGCAAAATTTTGTGTTTTGACTAGTTTATGAGTTCCATTCACGGGTCCTTTAACGAGATAATTAAATCCACCATAATTCCATTCCGTCGAAACTATAGGATTTACACATTCAGATCGTACTTCAATTGCGTCTTTCGGATTTACATTATCCAAATTCATTCCATGTGTCAGAATCTCTTTTCTTGCTGCCATAAGACCCATACCCAAGTAACTATGTGTATAAACACTCATGTTGTGGTTGAAGATATTAACAGAATATACATGACCATCCAGTTTTTTCTCCTGAATAAATTTTAAATATTTTTTTAAATCAATAATAAAAATATTTTATCTACTGAAAATAAATCTTAAAATAGATATAATTAATTAATTGTTTCAAACTTTATTTAATTAAAAACCTAATAATTTTATTTAATTAAAAACCTAATAATTTTATAACACTGATATTATTTGTTATAAAATATATATCTATATACAATAATATAAAAACTTTTATTATAAAAATACTTCTTACTTTGTCTTATCAGAAATTCATGTCACTGATAATGAATGATATTTGATATTTTTACTCAAATACTATATCAAGATTATTTCAATCATCTTGTATTTATTACTCCGCATTTTTAGATATTAAAATTATATTTTTTATTTAATTATACCTGTGTGGAATCAGGTGAAAAAGTCACTTGTGTAGAACCTCCACCAAGATCTAGTGCGGCAACTGTATTACCAGGATTGTGTGTAGCGAAACGTTCCAATAGAAAATTTACAGTGAACCATGAAAATATACCTTCATCCGTTCCATCCATTATAGAAATCGAATTTTTGGAAATCTAAAATACATATAGAATAAATAATAAACATCTACCTTAAGTTTAAAGCTTCTACAAATGAAGCTTTATACAAATGAAGCAGCTAATTTCTTTAATGTGAATTTCATGCTGTATACTGATCTATTACATACACCACTTAGTTTCATCCCCAGGAAGAAATATGCGTGCAATCCTACTGAAGACAATAGAAGAATATTTTATCACTGAGAAAAATGCATTTAAAAGAAGGAAAATGTAGAGATTTTAAAAATATAACTCTGACTTATTGTTAAATATGAAAAGCGATTTTAAATTAGTATATTCAATTTCTTTATTAAATAAAGAAAAGATTGTATTTAAAATAAATCTGAATAAAAAATTAGTTGGTTTAAATTTTGTAAAAATCAATGATAACAGAATTCAATAAAATTAAAATGCGATTTTATTTAATTGTTAAAAATAATTTGCATTAATTTACATATAATCAAAAATGTGATAAAAACACACATAACAATCCAGTCATATATCATATTTTACATGTTTCTAGTTTTATTAAATTATTATATGCTAATTTAAAGATAATAAATTCAAAGAGAAACAGTATCAATAAAATTAAAGCAGCGTAATACATGCTAAAATCCCTAAATCGAAGCAAACAATAATTTAAATATAAAACAAAATATATGTATAATAACTGTAAATCCAATCTCTCGAATAAAAATTTTATTATGCACTATTAACTTTATAAATATTGAATACATACTTGGAAACCACTATCTTCAAACATTTTCCGACATTCTTGGAGTATTTCTTGAGCCTTGTGTCCAGGAAGAAGTCTCAAACCAGCTGTAGCTTTCATGCTGAGAGGTGTATGTTGCCATTCTACTTGTGGAATGACTCCTTTGACCTTATCTAACAACACAGTCAGAGATTTTGCTGCATCTTTAGGTTTCTCAGCATAAGCACTAACACCTGGTTTTATGTCTGTATAAAGTTCATCATCCAAAACCAAATTGCCACCGAGGATTGATTCGTGGAAACTAAATGCTAAAGCACGACTGCCAGTAGAGCCTGCATCAATTACTACAACATAAAATGGCTTTTGTAGATTGAAGGAAAAAGCCAATGTATCAATTGCCTTGCTCCCGAGATGTACTGGTTTCAAATCATATCTGAAAAAGACAAAGGATGAAATAGTTCAAATTATTGTTATTTAATGATAGTATTTTAATTTTCCTAAATTTTATTGTAAACAAGTGTAATATACAATTGTTATAATTGTTCTGAGAAATAATACATACGCTATTGCTATATATCCTAAGAAGAGAATTCCCAGTAAGGCAATAACAACAAAGTATCTTTTGCCTGGATGACCCTTTTTAATTCTAGGTTTGGTATCAACTTCAAAAATATCGTCATTTTCTGTTTTTAACTGAAAACGTAACATTAATTCATTATATTTACATTATATATAATCAATGAAACACTAAAGTTTATTTCAATTTAATGTTGGAATATTGCCAAAGATTTTTCTAAATCAAATATTTCTATCATAGCACAAAAAAAACAAGATAGTTTAAAAGTTGTAAAAACAACTTCATCAAATAAACTTAATACATTTAATAAAACTCAAGAAAATTTCAAAACTGCTTATATTGTTTAGCAATGAAAATATATGAAGCTTGATAATAATCTTTTCAAGCGAACAAAATTAAAAATAATTGCAGAGATATTACTGAATTGATATAAAAAGTGATCTTCAATTTGAGATGAGTTCAAATATTATTTTCTCTTCTTTCATGTCTTATCGTATCTTTTTCTTACAAATGAGAAAAGCCATAAATTTAAACGTATGAAAATATTTTTATTTTAGCTAGAATACGTTACATGATGTAGAAAGAATCACTTGGAACTCTTAATATTAAAGACAATTTTATAATAATCGTAGAATTGAACGATCCGATAACCTCAAATTCAATATATGTGTCAATTTTAATGTGTTAACTTTTACAATATGCAATTAAAACGACAGGTTAATTTTAAACTTACTGGAATATATTGCATCTAAAATGCAATACAAGGGGTTAATACAGACAACGAAGGTAGTTTCAATTTCTCTAGACGATGAAAAAGTTAAAGAAAATAAAAGCATCACGTATTCGGCATTACACGTGGAATATCGGAAATTTCACGTACGTAGACATTGTAATTAACATAATCATAAAATCCACATATAATATAATCATAAAAATCCATATATTTATTTAGCACGTTCGCAATCTGAGTTCATAAATAAAAAATATTGCTAATCTTATCTCTAATAAGAAATTTAATACAAATGTTATGATAGATAATTTTTTGTACCATAACTTTTCCAAAATATATATTTCGGAGTTATAATACTTTAGCTTGAAACATAATTTTAAGAAAGTTTTTAACAAGAAAGAAGATACTAAATATTTGTACGCTATTTGAATTGTTCAAATCTTTTAAAATTGAAATGATGATAAATGAAATTTAAGGTTGAGATTTTTGAAAATTTTGATCAAAAAATATATATATATTTGTTTCATAAATGAATATAATGATTCGAAAAGAATATGCTTTTATTTTATTGTATGAAAATACAGTGAAAAAGTACAAAACGGCATGATGACATAATGCCAACGTAATAGAATTTTCTTTAGAGTTTTATTTGAATTTTTAAATTAAATGCAAATCAAATGAAATTTCAATAAAATTAGCCAAATTAAACGATTCGCGAAATAAGCAAGTAAGCATAAATTAAAAGTGTAAAAAGTTATAATTGTTTTACATTTATGGAATTTTAACTTCGAAACTTACGTAACTTAACTATTGATTAGTAGCTGAAACTATTATTTTCTTAATCATTTTCTAGGTTTCATCATAATATTTGTAATTATTTTAATCGAAATAGTTTCTCATATCAAATAAAAGATATATATATTAATCTATCTTCACGAAATTATCTACAACATTTAAATTATTGTAAACGTGTTGACGTTAATAATTTATACTTTTGTATATGCATTTTTGTAAAAGTGTATTTCCTTTGAAGTTAGATCGTGTTATTTATTATTATCTACAATTATTTTTTGAGTCGACTGAACGAGAGAAAATTAATCCGCAAATTTTACCAAAGAAGAAGAAAATGCTGGAAACAAACCTTTCTACGCCTAACGTCCATATTATTGAAATATCGTCGGTATAAAAATTAGAACGTAACAAGAATAAAAAAGAAAAGTTTGGCGAAACAACTTATTTTCGAAGCGTGACGCTTCGTAACTGATCTATCTGATTGTCAACAGTACGACTCTCAACTATGAAGTGGCATTGCGATGATAGCCAGTAGTCTGCATTAATTGTACTTTGTTAACTGACCGTCCAAATCTCCGTCAATGCCTCACTTTGTCACTAGCGTTTCGTAAGTACCTACGTTATAGACGTACATAAGCGCAGAGTGATATAACCCTCTTTTATTCGAAATGACATACCAAGCACACTGGCAAAGTTGTTTACTTCCTTCCTAGGGCATCTCGTAAGCAAATCTGTTCAACATTCGTATCAGAAGCACACCCATCGAAGCACAGAGACTTATCAAAATATTTTCCTCAAGAATTTAACCAGATGCGTATAAACTTTGAATTGCGGTCAATTAACAAGGCATTATCGTAGCAGCAAAAATGGCATCGATAAAAATTCAAGGTTGCAAGCACGAATTACACGAACGAAACAGAATATCACGAAGGTGAACAAAGAATTCATTATCCACAATTATTTCTACAATTGATAAAAGATAAAAATATCTATACATACAGTTAATTTGTACAATTAAATGTTGGCACGATGAATGCTAATTGAATATATACTAAAAAGCGATCTATTTATATATCCCTTCTTAATTAAAACATTAAAACATTAATATAATTAACTCACAGTTTGTTTCAAATTTATATTTTTTGCCAATGATAATACCAGCGACAATTAATGTTTGTCATTTTGTTTGTCGATAAGAAACGAATGAATGGAGTGTTTTAATACTGTAACAAATCAATAAAGTATTTGTTTAATCCTAAAATCAAAATATTCAGCTGTATTAAATAAAAAAAAGTTCAACCTTTTATTGTAAAAATGTTGCCTTATATAACAGCTTTCCTTAAACTAATTAAAATCTCGAACATTTTCTGTAACAGAATTTTGCATAGGAAATGTACTTATTTATTTATGTTTGTGAGAGAGTTAGAATACATAGAATGCACAACAATTAATGAATTGTACAATTAAGAGTCAAGAAATTATTAATATATTAAATTGCTTAATTACACTTTTGAAGATATTAGTAAATTTAAAAAATCATGTTCTTCGTTATATTTTTTAATTCAATTTCAATTCAATATTTTTGAAATAGTAAATGTAAAGAAATAAATATAATATGTATGTATCTTCAAAGTGTCAAATTACCAAAGTTAAGATTATTTAAATTATTATAATATATCAATATTATTTATATTATTGCACAAAATTGCATGTATTAAAATTATAGTGTTTAATTAGTGCATAATTAATTAAAGTCAATTAAAAATTGAGAATGTAGATATTTCAATGTAAATGTACAAAAATAAACAAATACTTTACAATTTCAATATCCATGATTAAACAAAAGAATTAGTATACAACTAGTATAGATGATTAAACAATAGAACTAATATATTTATAAACTTAATTAAATTATTATTGTCTTTTCTGTCTTAGTTTAAGAAATTAAATTAAACACAATAAATATTTTTTTAGTTTTAAATCTTTTATTCTAAACAAATATCTTTTTTTTCTAAACAAATCTTTTAATTTAAACAAATATCTAAATAAATTGTATTTTATACATAACAACGATTTGGATTTAGAATAAATAATTTATAAATGTATAATGCTTATATTCATATAAGTTACATACATTCAGCGGTAATGATTATTTTCAAAAAATGCATCTAAAAAATCTTTTTAATTAAATATTTTATAATTTAACCTTAAAATAAGACAAATAGCAATATGAAAACGATTCATCTCAAGAGATGGTTTAATTTGCAATTAACTTAAAGATTGTAATTACATAATATCATTCAAGATAGTGACAAGATATTGCTTCATCATGCTTACTCTTGTGATTCTCTGTAATTTTGTTTAGTACATGTTTTTCATAGTCATCGAAAAATTTTATAAGAGCGTAATTATTTCATTGTCTTCGTTAATATTTGTTAATTATAACAATTTTTTTTTTACACGATGAACATTAATTTTTGTCTAAAAGAATTAATTCGATGAATTTTTTCTAAAAATTAAAACAAACATGTTTTTATAAAAAACCATATTTTTCGTTCTTTTTTTGTTTGGCAGGAATTAATTTACAGGGTAAATTAATTTAGCGAATTATTTTCCTAAACTTTTAAAAATACATACGTACATATATTAAAAAGTATTTTTTCTTGAATATTCCAATATTCGAAAAGTATTTTTTTTGAAAATTTATTACGAGGAAGATATGACATAGCGATGATAATGAAGATTAAATAATAAAAAATAATATTTAATTTAAATTTAGATATTTGCAATATATTTCTGTGTCAAAATATTTAAATTTTTATTTAAATTTAATCTATATACTTCGAAATTTTTCAAAAGATAAATAGAAATATTTAAAAAATAAATAAAAAAATAAAATATGAAAAAAATATTAAATGCATAAATAGGTTATATGAACAAAATGTATTGAATAAGATTATAAAATTAATAATGTTAATTGCACATGTACGTGTATCATTTTTTTAAATACATATCAAAATAAATTAAAAAAAAAATTTATGTTCTAGAAATATTTGCAAAATTAGAAGGAAATTATAATGTTTTCTCTTTCATAAAAAGAGCTAAGAAAACTAATGAACTAAGGATTTAATAAAAATAGCTGAACCAAAATGGCACATATAGAAGTTACACAACGTAAACCAAGTCTCCTAAAGGAGGCTGTCATTCAAATTGGTGCAGGGGGTTCAGCAGGCTTCGTAGAAGCTTGTATAATGCACCCCATGGATCTTATTAAAACACGTTTTCAATTACAAGTTAAGATGGGATCGCAAGATGTTCTCTATTATACAGGCACTGTATAATCTGTATCATTGTATTATTTGTACACATTTTTATTTCAGTATTATTATTTTATTGTAATATTTTTGAATATTTTCTTTTATTTATCACAATTTTTTTTAAATTATATTATTATTTATCATAGGAATTAGAGATTGTATGAAAAAAATGTATAACAATGAGGGAATTGCTGCATTTTGGAAAGGTATATTACCACCAATTGTCATGGAAACTCCTAAGAGAGCTGTGAAAGTATGTAATTCAAAGCAGTTCCCTTTTTTGTTATTTTCACTATAAATTCTCAAAATAAATTTTGATTGAAAAATAACTATTTTAATATGAATATTATGTATATTTATCTTATTTCTTTAATTTTTTAGTTTTTCTCCTTTGAACAATATAAAAAGTTCTTTAATAACCACATGTCAATGTCAATGGTATGTATTACATTTCTTCTGTATTATATATACTTTCTATATATAATTTCTCATAATTATATATTTGAACAATATATGATATTAATATGTAACTAAATATGTAAATTTTTATACAATGTTTTTTCAGACATTTTTTTGTGCGGGATTCTTAACTGGTGTAACAGAGGCAATTTTAGTAAATCCATTTGAAGTAGTAAAAATACAAATGCAATCTAATCGTAAACACATCAATGACTGTCCATCAACTATTACTGTAACCCGACATATTCTTTACAATCAAGGTTTTGGACTAAATGGCCTTAATAAAGGTTTATCTGCTACAATAATGAGAAATGCTCTTTTCAATGCTTTTTATTTCGGAATTTATAATACTATCATTCCTCGATTAAATAAACAAAAAGAATATGTTCCAGAACTACTTTTGAAGGTATCATATTATAACTTATTTATTTAGTATTTTATAAATTTAATAAAAGAAAACTAATTTCATACGAAATTTATTATTAATATAATAAAAATATATTTTTTTAGTTTGCCATAGGTTTTATATCTGGAACAGCAGCATCTTGTATGAATATACCTTTTGATGTTGCTAAAAGTCGTATTCAAGGTCCACAGGGAACAATTCAATATAAGGGTACTTTACAAACTATTTATCTAGTTTATCAAAATGAAGGGTAAGAAATTATTAATTTTATACTTTTATATCATATATCGTATATGTAAAGTATATTATTTTATATTTTTGTTACATTTATTTTAAATATTTGATGATATTTTAAATATTTTTATTTTAGATTTAGAGCTTTGTATAAAGGATTGGTACCAAAGATTTTACGATTAGGACCAGGTGGCGCAATTATGCTCATAGTTTATGACAAAATGAAAGCTTACCTCAATATGCAGTTTGGTGACTAGTTAAAATTCTAGTCTACAAAGTAATCTGAACAATGCATTTTCTACATGCATTTTCTACCAAAGAATTGTTCAAGAAAACAGTTCCTCAATATTTGTTTCTATGAGATTTAGATTATATTTAGATTTAGTGTGTTTAAAGATTAGTAATTCTTCCTTCTTTCTCTTACAGATACTTTTTTTGTACAAATAAAATAACCACCTAACAAATGTAAAATAACAATTGTTTAAAAGAAAATTATGTAACTATATCTTTTGTAAAATTTGAAATATTTATGTAAAAAAAAAAAAAAATAAAATATATTACACAAGGATATATATATGAATTTTATTAATTTATTTAGTATATTATAATAATATCTGTCCAGAGAAAATTAAAGTTTGATATGATAAATTAAGAAAAATTTTTACTCATTACTCATTATTTTTTAATAATTTAAAATTCCAAAAATTGTATATAAAAAACTTGCAATATAAAATGTTGAAACAATAAAAATACCAATATTAATTATAATCGTCCAATATGGAATCTAGCCATTTTTCTAAATCTAAAGATTTGGTTGATGTGTTAGGTTTATTTGTCATCTTTGCATCTGTAATAAATATGTATTTTATTAGCATTCTCTTAAAAGTCATATTTTTAAAATAAATTTCAAATATATACCAGAACTAGAAGAAAAAGATAACGATTTTTTCACAATCATTAAAGGATCAATCACAGGTTCTTGACAAGACAATAAACTATCTAAATCATCAGCTGTATTTTCTAATGAATTCTGACTTTTGTCATCATCTTCTGTATTTGTAATTACTTTTCCCGAGTCACTTAATATTTTGGTATATTTTTCTTTACCTCGTTCTGCTGTATTATAAATATCTGTTAACTGATCATCCTGCAATAGTTGATAATATTTCAGAAAAATTTATTTATTTTTTAAATGACCAAAATTAAATTAAATTAGTTCAATATATTATTACACTTACAGTAAAATATTTTTTATCAATATTAACATTTTCATTAAATGGAATTGCTTCTATTGCTGCAGATAGTGTTTTTAGATCAAGTGTAAAAAAATCAGAGTATTTGAAAACGTCAACATCCCAATTTTTTTCTGATTCAAAAACAAAATCATCATTTCCAGAAATTGGAGCATTTGATAAAAATTCAAAATCCTTTGTAGTATTTTCATCTACATCAATAATTTCTTCAAAATATTGCTCTTTATTATCCTTATTAACTTCCTTTTTTTCTTTTCCTGTTTTACCTCTATATGTAAAAAAAATATTATTTCTAAATTAAAATATATGAAGAAAGCATGTAAAGAGACAATATTTATTCTAATACTGGACAAATAGTAAATTGTTTCATTTAGTTGTATATACACACACACACACACACACACACATAGATATTTATTAAAATTATTTTATTTTTTAAACAACTTATTCACAAACAAAAAATTATTTGAGATTGTAATTTGTAAAGTTTTTATTGAAAATAATACAAAATATTTTATTCTTGTTTCTTCCTTATATTGATCTGTTATTTTTAACATTGATAAAAATGAAATTTTTATTTATTTTATAACCTAACCTCTCTTGACATTCAATATACAGATTACTATACAAATTACATGTGTTGTTTTATGTTCAAAAACAGAAATTCTGGATTTTCTTAGATTGTTTAAGTTAAGATGCTTTGAAATTATTACAGGACAATAAAAAGTAAAACAAATTTTATAACAAATTATTTTCTATATAACAACTTTAAAAGTCACAATCATTTGATAAATTTATTAGTTATTAAAATAATTACTAACCTCCCTTGTTTTTTTTTAGGCATGTTTCTGTTTTTATACAAATATTTTAAAATTAAAATTCACACAGGATGTTCCACGACCGAAAATCGAAAGTTCACAGAAAATCGAAAATCTGATGTATAAATGAGTAAATACCTACATGTAT